CCCAAAACCCCTCAACAACAGTTTTATGACTAAATAGAATTAGATAGAAATTAATTTGAAGTAACTATTAATTAAGTATTTAAGTTTAAACTTAGACTTCACCATTAGGTATACTATCTTCTTTATAAATTTGTATAATCATTTTTATTATCTTTTTAGTAGTTGTTTCCGATGGGATTTATTTAGAGAGGAGGTAATATTCTCTGTCTCTAGGTACCATTCAAACTATTTTATTGCTTTGAATTGTAAAGCTCCTTTAGATAGATAGAACTAGATTCCTTTTTTTCGGCCAGCTGCTTTCTTCTGAATAAAGGTAATTATTTATTTGCAGATTCATGGAATGCTTGTTCATCCTACTTATAATCTTGAAAATCATCATAGACATCAACGATTTTAAGAGCGTTAAATGGTTTTTATTATTCTAAATTTTATCTAACTTTCTAATCTTTAGTTGATAAATTCATTGTTGACTAATTCGAAATTTAATTTTAATTAACAAAACTTGGGAGAAAGCCCAGAGTAGTTTAATCATTGCTGTATTCCTGCTTCATTTTGGTCAAGGATTTCATAGTTTTGGGGTTTAATTAAGGGCTATTTCCATTCAAATCAGACAACTAACTAATATTCTTTGAATTATCAAGATCAAAATCTTTACTCTATTTAGCAGCACTTAAGAATAGTGATGAGTAACTTTTATCGGGCTCTCTAATTGACAAGGAGTCAAGAATGTATTATTTCTTATTGGAATTAGTGTCTAATTTATTGCTATTATGTCGACTAACATCAATATCATATGAAATCATGTTAACCTAAGGACTTTATTATTCAGCTTCATCTTTTGAGTGGCTTTTTGGGTACTTCTTAACATCTGAAATATTCATGTTATTACTTACTTTACTAAAGGAATCAAAGTCTTATGTTTTTAGTGTAGATGATGAAAAGAGCTTTGCTTTTATATAGACATTCTAATTTTTCTTGACTACCCACCAAATAATGAATCCTAAAATTACAGCTCCAATTATCGAGCAAGCTATTATAATTATCAACTTATCTTGACTACTTATTCCAGAGTAGCTTTGATTCATGTCATTGTTGCTATTTTAGTTGAGAAGATTATTAATAGTTTAATTCCCACTATCTTGGCTCAATGTTTTGTCACCTGTCTAAAGGTATTTATATTCCAGCTAAAAGGATGCTCAAAATATATTTATAGCATAGGCATTAATGTAGATCTCATTAGGCTTTGAAGCATTGATTATTTAGCCAATGGTTATTTCTGTAAAATTTGCACTTTTTAATGTTGAACCTATGCCAATAATAATTTAGGAGTTACTAGATTTTTTAATAAGAGTAATTTAGATTGTGTCACCCAAATACGATGCTATTGGATATTGTATTTTGAAGTGGCAAACATCTCTTGTTACAAAAACACTACTATCAACTGATAATTATTAAGCTTTTGTGTCAGATATTAAAAGCCAAGTATTTCCACAGTAATTTTCAAATGGACATAGCCATTCTTTTTAATATTATTGAGATAATTAATTAGAGCAGTCTAAAAAATTATTAGGACAATATTCATTCATATCGCAGCAAAAGCCCCAACTCATAGTAGAATCCCCTGGACAGTAAACTCTATTACTACCAATGCAACTTTTAAGGCAAGTTTCAGAATTATAAATAGAATCTCATGAATTTACAAGTTGAATGATCAAAGCAAGGAGGAAAGAATGCATTATGCTTTTTTAACATATTAAGTAATTATTCATTAATAAGATAATTTCTTTTAATAATAATCTGAAAATTATGCCAATAAGTATAGTGGGGTTTTGGGGTTTTGGGGTTTTGGGG